GCCAGCCAACACAGCCGAATAGACCTACTAGTAGAGGGCGCTATATTCATAAGAGACGACCTGCTGAAAACCAGTCTTGTAGAATCTGGCAGGCTTACCTGAAAAATTCCAAGCATACCTCACGCGTTCAAGTTATCATTAATAATACATGTACATATACGCACTTCTGAAGACAGCGTGCCATGCAGATAACGGTTTTTGGCAGTGCGCATGCGCAATTATTCATGGTAGTTTGAGTGCATAAGGTATGCTCAGAATTTTTGGTGTAAGCTTGCCAGGTTCTATAAGACTGGCTGTGTCATTGTGAACAAAGCGCCCTCTAATGGCACTGTGATTAGGCTGTACTCTCCTGCGTATGTAGCCTGCACAGTGCACTGGCCAAAACAGTAAAACCAGTCTTGGAGCAAGACTACAACTCGGCATGTTCCATGATCTACACAGTGTTGTGTAAAAGAACTTCAGTGTCAGTTTTACACTGGACAGCAAAAGAAACTTGCCACTTCCGTCAAAGGCCACACATAAAAAATTCACTCCATAGAAATCAGCAATTTTTGTACACAGGTATGTTGCAATACCCCTTACTAATCACATGCCCCAAAGCAAGTAATTTTCTTTATAACAAAGAAGAAATTGACATGCACAGCAACTTGGTTACTGAATCAAAAGTCGCACACAAAAGCACTCTCCACCAAGCAAAAATGACCCATGAATGGACAACATTTTAAACAACCAATGACAAAGTGAACACCTGTTTTGTCAGAATGATGTGCATGAGTGGTTTCTGTATAGGGATGCCATCCTAACTGACTATGCATACACATTATTGATTGTGACTTCTTTATTTCGTCCTATGACATTGATTTCTGCGTAAAACTTACGGCTCATTCTGTTACATTCTATGACTTTTGATATTTTGTTTTACCTTTTTGAAGAGGGATGGGTTGCTGATACAGAATTCTGCAAGTCAGTACCTTGTGTGACTTGCACCCTACGATTTGTTATGGGTTTGTAATGCTATGGGTGTTTTAATGCAGCTCAGTTATGCCAAATCTCGGTGAATTTCTGTGCTGCCAAAATTCCACTTTTTAATTACCCCCCTCAAAAAAGGCCTCAAAACTGATCATGCTATTTAGCTTCAACAAGCCTCAACACATACAAATAGCGTCAACAAAGCCTCAACAACTCAAAAGTACCCTCTAAAGATTTAAAAGTGGTTTTATCAAAATTTAAAGACTCTAAGACCTTCCACTGTGTAAAAGAAACATCGAATTTGCCTTTCAGATTCATGCAGAAAAACGAAACTCTTTCGTGATGTATGGAGGCCGCCATCTTTCTTTACTCTGCTGTCCAGGCGAAAACAAGATGGTGGCCGGTCGGGCTGCACGAGCAGACCCGAATTTGTTGCTCACATTTCCACACTCAAATATCATTTTCGATAACGTGATATATTGAATATGATATGTAGGAGCCTTACTAATGTAAATGTAAAATATTTGCATAAAAATGCTTGAATAATTTGTTAACGCTTTGTTGACGCTCGTGACCCCTCGAAACTGATGTACAGCTGATGAACTATGGTTCTAAGGCCATACAACTGACTATTTCGTGAAAAAAACAATTGATGCTTTTACTCACCACTCTATGATTCCTCTGATGAAAATGACCCAAACACATTGCACACTGTGTGTGCATCACGCAGTGTGCGTGCATCGGATTGATGGAATCGGAGGAATGGAATCTTGTTTTCATTGTATGAACTTCCTGTGTGTGTTCTGGCGGGTGTGCTCTGCACGCTGCGCTGTAAAGCTGAGAAGTAGAAGGGAGGGATATTTCTGTGGATTCAGCTATACGCTTTGAAATGTTGCAATAATGCAATTTTTGTACATGAAGGCAGACTTACATGTACATGTTAGAACCTATTTACAGTAGTAGAAGAGGGTTGTGCAATGAAAACAAGATTCCATCCCTCTGTTCTTGAAAACCGTTGAGTCTACATCATGCAACAGTCGGCCCAACCTCGTTCCTGTCGGTATGATCTTTCCGCATCGTGTTGGTTCATGGAGACCAATGGTTTTTGAGGGGGAGATTTGATTGAGAACGTGGAATTTTCGCAGCACAAAAATGTACCCCAATTTGACAAAAGTGGGCCGCATTCAAAAACCCATAGTATTACGAACCCATAAAAATCAGAGGGCGCAAGTGAATAGTGACTTGCAGTTCTGTAAGTAGGTTGCTGAATGTTTGGAGAGCTACGTGTAACATGCGGAAGTGATTTCAAACACACAAGCAAAACTTGAAGGGGACATTCTTTACTCTTTTTATCAGGACTTTGAAAGATCTCCTTACACGTTGCCTTTGTAGCATACAAATGTACAAGTCCCAAGTTTCTGTCCCTGAGATTTTCTTATTACTGCATTTTCTGTGCAGTGAGCCTGCCTATTGTGTTAACTAATAAATACTAATATAATAACTACTAAAATTTGTATTTTTGTACCAAATAAGGCAACCCTCAGTTTTCCAGCCACAGAGTCTTAGCATGGCATTTTATGACATTTATAAAAATAACAGGAATTTTTTCGTCGCAATTGACACAGATAAAAGATGTGAAATGTTGGCAAACATATTTTTACTTGGGCTACAATTTTGTTACTTGCAGTATTGGATTTTGGCAAGTTTTATAGCGCAAACTTTCTTCATGTATAAAGTACCTCATTATAACGGCATCTTTGCATTTTCTGTCATTGTTTGGTGTCTCATTTCTTTTTAGGGGGTCAGTGAGGACCATCAGGTGGTTCTTGTTCCCTTCCAGTGAGCTGTTGGCCTACATGTATTTATGACCCCATGATATTTCTTGACCACAAGAAAGCCAAAGCCACCCATACAGGAAATCCTTAATAGGCTTTGTTGTTGAGTATTCTTGCCCTTTTGTGTTGGTTTACCATGAGCAGTTGCCTTTCTTGTGTCTTGTTTACTTAGGGGTTATGAGTACTGTAGACTAGATTCATGCTGTGTTGATTTTTGAACACCTGTCACTGTTCAGAATGCAAGCATTTTATTTCTCATTGCCATTAGATTGCCAGTGAGAAGTGGATGTTAATGAAAAAATCAAATGTGGATCAAATTGAAACTCAAGGGATAAGTTGTATGTTGCATGTTGACCATGTAGTTCGTACAAGTATTTAATCATTTCATGATAAGAACGTGAAATTGGGTCATCTTAGAAGAATTATTGATTGGTATGCAAATTTCTGAGAGAAAGATAAAACTGGGATAATCTGGAAGCTACACTGTACGTGCACCTGGTTATATAAACTGTGTATTAGAGTGTAGTGATGACCATCCTAGTAGCAACAGTGGTTAAGTATCCATACAGGATGTAATTAAACCATCTCAATTGACGCAGAATACAACTTCCTGCCTTACTCTTCCGTAGTGGATGTTATGTATGAACAAAGCAGTTTTTCTTGATTGCAAACAGTGTGCTGGTTTTGTTTTTTAAGACTCTTGCCAGTTGTGGTTGTTTTTTTTTTTCTTGTGCCATGTTTGTGGTTCCAGGCGTTCTTTTAACTTCACCTCCAGTGTTTTCATGTACAAATAATATGGATGAACAGGTATCATTTCAATTTGCTGTCAACAAAAGTGGGTACTGCATTGAAAGTGTACGTTACATGTGCATGTAGCTGCAATGACTTACCCTTTCAAACACAATTTTTGCAACTTACCACTCATTAATGTGTCTCTGTTTTGAAATTCTTGTTAGATTGAATACATTGAAAATATTCATGCATTGCTGGACAACTGTATGTACATGCATATATGTGAGGATGCTCTTTTGATGTCATCCAGAAAAGAAATGGCTCAGTGCATGGGTCTTTCTTCTGTTCAAATTGTGAATGCAGACTTTACTCGTGAAAAATATTTATAAGAAAGGGTAGTATGCTTGCTTATTTGTATGTACACTGTACGTATATGTCCATGTATACCGGTACATTCAGCAGCCCCCAAAAAGAAGAAAATTAGTCCTGAAACATCTTAAAAAATGTATTTTTTGGGGGGCCCAAACCAATGTTGTGGTTCAAGTGATGACATCACTGTTTTGTTCATAGACAACTACGAGATGCATTTAAAAGATTTGTATTGAAATATTTCCGTTGCATAGAACCTTAAATAAATCTTTGGCAGATGAACTACAGTATTCAGTTACTTGAGCATCATACTGTCGTAATCCATACATGTAGTTATGTTGTTATTGTTTTGAAAAATTCTATCATGTACTTATTTGAAACTTCAAGCATGCTGTAAAATTTCATAGAATTCCCCTCAATAAGAGAGATATACTGATAAAATGAAATTTTAGTATTTGTATCTTAACCCTAACACTCCTCAGTCCTCCAACAGGTGAAGGATTGAGGAGGGTTAGGGTTAATGTGATCTTTATGATTGATGTTGGACCACCATTTTGCACCAACATGTGTATAAGTACACACATAAAACCATTATGTACATAATTTAATCATTTCCCAAGGCTAAATTGGAGTGAACTGACCTTTAATTTGTGATTTACAAGTGCAGTGTGAGAAAACTGTTGACAAGTAAGGTATTTCAGGCCTAGCAGCCTTGAGTGCACTACTCATAGATGATTTGCTTACATTGAGTCTATGGACAAACATATAGGTATCATTGTAGGTCATGCTTCAGTGTGTTTCTTTGAGGGGCTTGTCATGAGGAATACTTGGGAATGTTTACATTTGTGTACATGTACCAGTACATGTACATTTGAAGTTACTCAACTTCTACCACCAGCATTGTACATTTCTTTATTTGATGTTTTCATTTGAAGATCCTTTTTATAATTTTTAAGTAAAGGCAGAATTCTAAATTACTCATCCTGCCTTGGAATTTTTTTTGCTCATGTGAAGAAAGTAATATTAGCTTTTGAATTGTTTCTTTTCCTTCAACTTGACAACTGATGTAGTGTTGATTTCTTTCACCCCCATCAGCTCATGCGTGTGATACAGCAGGATCTAGTGAAAATGGACGGGACATGATGGCAGCACATGCTCTATTAGATATCTCACCAACAACGAGTGGTGAAGAGAAATCATTTATAGCGCAGAGTAAATTAACAACTGTCACACAGAACTGCTCCAATACAGGTCAGTAATCTTGCATTCATTTGCATACATGTGTAGTTTGTATCAGGTAATCTTTTCCAACATTTATAAGTATCATTTGTAAGTATCCTTCCCCAGTCATCTTGTGGAATCTTCTGTACTCCGTTAACTAGTAACAGAGAAAAGGGAGTCTATTGAATTCAGCAGACAAATGTGGCAAAATACACAAAACTTGCTTCCTGTTTACTACAGTACATTTACAACAGTGCTACTGTAATAAACGCAATGCTGTCCATGCAAAATGTTTGTTACCTGTGGTTATTTGGGGGTGCAGTTTTCAATCGCTGATACACCTACTCATTTACTGCTCTGGCTTGTACACATACATGTACGTGTACATTTTACGTGTCTGTGTGGTGGCCTGTCTGACAAGTGTTTCTGATGGAGGATTTTGGGCCAACACGTCAGATGCGACAAAACAAGTTTAAAATATGTAACAGCAAAATTTATTCATTTTTTTACAATATATACATGTATGTATGTATGGTACAGTTCTTCCAGATTTCACCTTTTGGGTAATTTTCAATGGGAGACAAATTTCAAAATGAAATAAAGTTTCCTACGAGTTTTCCTTCTGAGTCATTGCGTAATAATGGCATGTGACACGCAGTACAATCAGGCCTCGACATTAACGGTTGTCTAATTGCTGGGGACAAGAAATTTCTTCTTTTGGGCAAGTAAAAATTAAGGACAAATTGCCCGACGGACAGGTACTTTTTTTTTTTTGAAATAAAAGTGTCCGTTTTTTGTGGCCAAGAATAGGAGCTAGAAAATTTACCTTTGATTTACCTTTTCCTCTTCACAAAAGCTTTTTAAAAGTTGTAAAAATTAAACAGCTAGGCCTATGCGGTGTACAATGTTTTGTTGCATCGTTATGTCCATGTACATGTACAGACTTGCGAGTACATGTATGTATAAAGCATGTATGTACATGTATATTTAGCATGGCACCTTTCCACACAAGGGAAAATGCATAAACAAATAAACTGTAAAATACCCTGGTGTCTGGGTACCGAACCTCATTTTTAATTGTGTGGCGCAGCAGAGCTTTTGACGGCCGGAAGCTCGAAGACTGTTTTACATGTAGCTGTGACTTACATTAGTGAATTTTGCCTGATACTTGTGTGTGTGCCTCTTGCTGACATCAGGCAAAATTGTCAAGTGGTTGAGAAAATAATATGAAAAAAAAAAGAAAAAAAGAAGTTAAGAAAAAAATGGTTGTGACAAACGTAACAAAATGGTGGACAGACATTTGCAATTCCTAAAATCAAATCTTAACCCTAACAGTCCCAAATCCTCCAATTTCAAGATAATTTTACATACCCCCCAGGGGGTTAGGGTTAATTTTGTCATCTGATAGAAAAAAAACCCACAAATATGGTGTACTGTAAACTATTATTGTAAAAACCTTTTCAGGAAGATATATGTTTTTTGTTCAGGTTATCTGCTCAAGGAATGGCAAAATCAGCCTGTTTCATGTTTGTCACTCTGTGGATAGACACAGTGACATACATGTACGTTATTCCGTAATAACATGTAGCTCTACTTAAATTCCGGTTTACTTAAAGTAATAAAAAGCCCCAGATTTTGACACATTTCAATGTTATACATGTAGCACCTATGTTTTAACAGATGAATTGCTTTTCTCCATGAGAGTGGTATTGTAAATTACCTAAAAATAACATAAGCTGGATATTGTCATCAAGATCCTGATTATTTTAACAAAGAACAACCAAATCCTATTAAACTGTGTAATCTCCACAATTATACCGGTATGTCTATCAGTAAAATTATTAACCCCCAACTGCCAACATGGCCAAGCATATTGTTTGGCTTACACTACATAGGACTTACATAATACTAAGTAATAGTCTGAGCCCGAAGGACCTAGTGCTACAAATTACTACTTCTGGCTAGGGTACTTTCATTGTTACTCATACAGAGAACAATTAAGCCATGCATTCATAGTGCCACAGCGCTGTATGGTACATTGTCTTATCTATTGTATTCTATGGCTTCACAGAACAATAAGGTCATGTCCTCTTACAAGCAACAGCGCTGATTACTACGTTTTACTACAAGTAGTAATTTGTGGTATTATGTAGGGTTAGGGTTAAAGTTTATTTCTTGACTCTCAACACTGTTAAAGAAAGAGATGATTTTGGTTATGTGCAAATGTGTGGTCAGACCCAGTTCCATTCAATATGTTGAGGCAGCGCAATATGGTCTGTTGGAGTAGTTTGGAAGATTTCACACAGAAAGTAGGCATGAATTTCTGCATGGCTGACATAAAACAACACAAGGTATTAAATATGATCATGAAGTACTAATTTCTGAACTGATTTGTAATTGATAACAGATGATAATATTGACGTACATGTATATCAAATCCGTAATCTTAAAATTTGAAAATGGTGTCTCACCGACAATCGGATCTTGAAGTCGGCAGTTCTGAATGTCATACGATACCGTAAAAAATGTGGACAATCAAAAAGCAGTGAGTAAATCAAAGAAAAGAAAGGATCCCAAACTTTTATCTTTTTATGACAATGAACAATCACATTTTCATCAAGTACATTTTCACAATCTCTAATCCAAAATACAAATGTACAACAACTTCAGGATATCCATCAATTTTTCATGGTGACATAGCAGATACATTTTACTGCTTTGTGGGATGTTGACCGTTGACATCAGCCCAGATAGTACACTGTTTTTCATTTGATATTCACAAGTCCCCTCGTGGACATGCAAGTTTATGGAATTTCACTGTTCCTAGAAATACAAAATGACATCCTGGATGTAAAATATTGTTAACCCTAACTAACCCAAACGTGCCATACTCCAACATCAGGTTTTGTGAGGTTTTGGCAGGTTTGGTACT